TTAAGAAGTCGCTATTATGCTAACTTCTCTAAAACAAAAAAGAATTTTGATTATTTTTAATAGTGGAGTCCTACAACTCTAAAACAAAAAAGAATTTTGAATATTTTTAATAGTAGAGTCCTACGTAGAGCTCCAATCCATTATCCATTTATCCATCCATGGATATCCGGATATCAAATTTTTAAATGAATAAATGGATGGATATCCGGAAATTCATATTTTGTTTAGATGATGATATCTCGTGATCTAGAAGCAAATCACAAGTACGAGATAGTTTATTTGCATTGCGCGTGTATGTAACACATTTATCTTTTTTGAATTGAATAGGGAAATTTCTAACGTACGTACGTACTAATAAAGCAAAATTTTAATAGCTGATAGCATAGATTGCGTTAGCCACATCTAGGGAAATTCTACTTATACGAAAATGTGTGAGATAAGCCGTCTTTAAATTCGAGATAATGTTATAGAATTTAATATTAACAATCATACATCTCTTTTCGCACTTCTTACTAGCAATAAAAATGGTATTCAGATCCTTATTAGTGAGACTGGAATGGTAAGTATTCCAGCCCCTCATTTACATCGGTCGTTGAGATATTAGGATGCTTTAATTGATTTTAAATTTTATTAGAGACTTGAGAGAACCGTAAAACTTGTAATAACAAACATTTGCAATTTTTGCGATTCTTTGGGATACATTTGTTTTTAAAATTTGAAATGTTACATTTTCAAAAAAAGAAATTGATTAAATTAATCATTTGACCAACCAAATTCTATATACTGCAGCCTCCATAAGTACAACAAATTATAAGTTACATAGATGTGTGTAAACATTTTTGTTTTGGTATATTTATCATTTATTGCAGAATTGGTACGCTACATATACTGATGCTATATAAAGAGTACTGAAACTACAAAAAATTAAAGCTGATAAACTAATTTCGCCCATCTACTCATTATATCTACTCATTATAAATTATAATGATTTTTTTTATTATTATAAAAAAAAATAAAAACTATATCGATATATATACAGCGAATTGAGATTTAATATTACTTTTAATAAGAATGTTTATTAAATCAATTATTCCTTTAATTTTATACGTACCTATTTTTTTGGTACCATTCTTCTTTCATTCTTTCCTATTATCAGCACCACCTACATCTATTTCATCATCAAAAAAATCTTTATTATCAATTCCTGGCATTATTTTCTTATTTTTTATTCCTATTAAATATAGTTGTAATGATTTTGGTTTAGATAATTTATTTTCTTCAATTGCTATGGCATCTTGTTTACGATATATTGACCTTTTTTTCTTAAATCCGTTTCTCAACAAGACGGATATCTACATGTCTATATATCAAATCAAAGCAGAGGCATTAAAACCTTTTCGTATATTGCCAGATCCTCATGAAAAAACCACTAATATTAAAGATGTGGTTAAATCATATAATATATTACCATCTACTATTATTTTAATATTATTAAATTTAATTGCTTATTATTATTTACTATTTTTTACTCCTGAAATAATATTCTCACTTTCACTATATCAATATTTATTATTTTGTCTTCTTTGCACAATAATATGTTATTTTAATTTGGAAATTGGAAATCGGCTCATGATTTTTTTTGTAACTTTAATTTTTTATGGAGGAGAATATGATCGAAATGAATGGCATTTCTTATTTAATAACCCTTTAATATCAACTTCATTAACAGAATTTTGGTCAATACGTTGGCATCAAGCATTTCGAGAAATTTTTGTATCATTTGCATATAAACCATTAAGAAGATTAACTATTAACAAAATTAGACCATTATTTGGAAAGGATTATCAAAAAATCGGAATAATTATAGAGAAACTTATTCCTATAATGGGTGTTTTTTTCATTAGTGGAATAATGCATGAATATATAGTTTTGGCTGTGATGTATCAATTTTGGAAGCCAGGTGAACAATTATTATTTTTTATGTTGCAAGCAATTGGTATTTCTTTTGAAAAATTCTTTTTTCCTTTTTTAAATTTACCAAAATGGTTGGGTTGGTTATGGACCTTAATGTATTTATTATTTACAATACCTTTGTTTATAAGTCCATATATAAAATTTAAACCCTGGTAACTTTCTACACATTATTGATAAGGTGTATACTGAATATACAGTAGTATAACCTTTTTAAAGAATTTATCACAAATATATTTGTCTGCTATACTAAAAATTATTGCATTTTTTGAATTAAAAATTCTGAAGTTTGTATAGTTAACAGCATATGAAAAATATGATATTCTGGTTAATAAAAAATCAGTAACAAAATATCAATTAAAAGAATTATCAACTATAAAAATTTTGGGAAAATTGAAGACTTAATTGATTTGTGAGTGAAAAAATAGGTTAATAAAAAATACGATAATTACAGAATTAGAACTAGGCCGTACGTACGTACGTAGGCTACTGGTTGGCTTTTTTTTTTTTAGTAATTAAACTATTTCAAACTAAAGTGAACAATGAGAGCTTACCATACAGGCACTCGGAAATATTTTGAAATTAAAATATCTCAACAACAAATCCAATAACGTTTTTTATCAAATTTGGTCAAGTGATTGTTGAGATATTTAATCAAAATTTCTGATTGCAAAGTATTTCAGGTCCCTGTTATCATTAATTCTTGGGTCATCTAATAAAACTTGCCGAACGATTTTCGGCCAGTTCGATTAAGTTTATGAATTCGGCATGATTCGTAATAATAATATCCTGATCCGTTGGGAATTAGCGGAGACGAAGTTTCCACTAATTCACATACGGTCAGGGTATTTTAATTAATCCTCCTGTGATCTTGATATAGTGATCGGGGGATTCTAGAGTTATTACCCGTGTCAAATGGGTAAGAATTCAAAATATGCAAATACCTATAAATTTTTGTTGTTAAAAAAACATTTAGGGACTTGACCTTAATTCAATTGTGACTCATCATTGGACAATTCAGAGCAGAAACGATGATTTTCTGCGGTGGTTAAGACTAAATTCTGCGTGTGATTAAGAAAAATTCTGTAATTTAATGTGATAAAATTTTTGTCTAATTTTGTGGTAACGTTTATAATTTCTTTGCAATTCTGTGGTACCATATTGTAGTTTTTGTGATCTAATGCAATTATAAATTTTTCCAAGCAACTAATTCCGGCAAACACGCTTGTAATTTTAAGAAAATAATTGTAGTGATGATGATAACGAAACCAACGTAGATGATGGTGTTAGCACATCTGAAATTGATATTGCAAAGGTAGTGGAGAATAATTCAATTGATAATGATGAATCTAACGAATCGGAGAAACATAATATTAGATCGGATACGAGAAAATTTGTTGTATTTCTTATTAATGTCGAAGAAACTCAAGACAATAGCAATATTGGCCCAAATAGAAGTATGAATCGCCTATCAATAACGAGATCTTTGGTTAATTTAAATATTCAATCTGACAAATTGAGTATAGATACCAATGTCATTGATAAACAATCAACTAAGAGACATCAAACGCGATCAACACGTTCTAATTCTCAAGTCAAAATCGTTGTGCCAACTAATACCTCAAATATTGACACTGTTGATCAATCTATTTCTGATAACAGGATGCGAAGGCAACCTAGCAATGTTTTTTCTTATGAACGACTATTAATTCGGAATCAGGCAAAAGCCGCAACTATGAAGAAACGTAAACTAGATAATCGTCAACAAAATTAGAATGTTTTCAAAAGAGAAAAGGTTTTTTTTAAAACTGAAATAGACATATTGATGTCTTAAATGATGGTGCCGAAACCGGTGTAGACGATGATGCTGGGACCAACAACATTAATAAAATATGTGAAACGTCACAAGCTGAAGATGAAAGAATTGAAAGAGCTATAGCAGATCTTAATAATAACATTAATAGAATGCATATAACATCTCAAGCTAATGAAACTGCAAGGCCTTAAATTAACAATTATAGAATACATAATAATGGTCTTCTTTAACTATGTTTTTATAGTATAATAGACATCTGCCATTAGGGTTCCAACTGGTTTGAAAATCTTCAACCATCCAATTAAGACGGGTCACAATTATTTACGTTGCAATGTCGGCATAATTTTTTCAATAGATAGAATATTAGGTTCTTAAATTTCTTGCACCAAATCAATATATATATATATTTATATAATTGCTATATATATATATAAATAATGATTGATTTTTATTTTTATAAAAGAATTTAAAGTATAACTGCATTTTTAAAATTTAGTATTTCAAAAACTGTTGTACAAATAAATATTATACGTAAGAGCGAGACAATAAAAAAAAAATTTTAATTTATAAATTAAGTAATATATAACATCGGATCTATTTATTACGCGAATTTCGTGCTATTTTAGAAGTAATATAAGATATATAGTTTATTAAGATTAATTTGCTAGTTCACTATCATTAGTCGTAACAATAAATTAAGCATTATTTTGCTTGTATGGTACCAAATTACATATTATATCAATAACGTGTCTAAGCGATCTTTCCCATTTCTAATTTATTTCAAACGCCCATTAGATATGAAATTTATATACCAGATGTTTGAATAAACCTTTTTGTTAATCATTCAATAACATATTTTTGATAAGGATACAAAAAATCTGCTTTCACCAGTTAACAAAAAATTACTTCCAACTCGTATTCACCAAGATTAAGTGTTGAAATGAGCTCTAATATAAACTTCGAATGGCGACATTGTTACGTACGTTGGTATCTGAAGAAAAAAAAAAAAAAAATAGTAATACGTTGCATAAACCAAAAACAAAAATGAATCAAATCAAAAAAATATATATTTTTTGGGATAATCAGTGCTCATAATCGAGGATGCGCCATGGTAGTCACCAAAGTTTCAATAAATAATGTGGGTTTTTTTCGAAGTTTCCCAACCATGGATCGTAAAAACTCGTCAAATCTAAACATCCTCCCTTCGATTGGATTACGTTAGAATTGGAAGTTCGAAAATTGACTATGAAAAACAAAATATAATTATTAATACCGTATATTTATCAAACAAATAGTTATAACATAAATTATTGCACTCAGAATAAATCATAACCGATCAGCCCGCATGGTACTATTTTAAAACTAGGAGGTATGCAAGATCGTCTGTAAGGCGTCAATTGCTGCAACGAAGTATCCGGAACTACAACCAGCAAGCTGGGGCGCTATAAATATGCAAAAGCTAATTAAAGCCATGAAAGCGTGTGATAACTCTCCCACATCAACATTGTTACCTCATCCTTAGCTTGGGTGAACTAAGAGTTCTTCGATAACAAGCGTCCGCAGGCAACAGAAGTTACATAGAACATATTTTGAGGATACCACTTCTCAGACGAGATATCAATCCTGTTTAAATACCACCGGCTCCCAAGAATATAAATATGTCCGCGTTGAGCGTAACTCATAAAACATCGAACATATTATATTTCATCATAGTGTATAAATACTTATAAAATTATTATTCAACAACATATACCTTAAAAAGTTTTGTATCTTTTGGTTCCGCTATTTCATGGGTAGTCGGTCGTCTTTAGTGCGTCATTTCACGGGTGGTCGTCTTTAGTGCCGCCATTTTACATCGTCTTTGTCACCATTTCACGGTAGTCATCTTTGTCGCCATTTTACGGTAGTCATCTTTGTCGCCATTTTACGGTGGTCGTCTTTGTCACAATTTCATAGTGGTCATCTTTGGTGTTGCATGCTTGCTTTCGTTCGTTTTTAGCACTTTTTTTTATAAATAAGATTGTTTGTAAAAATACTAAATATCTATTAGAAGTAAATAAGATGGTTTTTTAAACAAAATTTTGCCTGTTTATCGATTTTTGCATTACACAAAATCAGGGCTCAAAAAAAAGTATTGTTTACATGATGGTTTTCCTTTTAAGGATGACCTGATTTAAAAGATCATGCGTATTCCACAAAAAGATCTGGTACTTTTCATGGGTATGAATATAATGTTACACAAAATACCAAAATTGATATAATTCAGGTATTAATATGGAAAACAAACAGGATCTACGCAACCGCGGGTACACGTAAGAGCATGAGAGACAAGAGGACAGTAGTATAAATTGCTAGTTAAATACTGAAATATGGGTTTGATTGGTTGTATTGTTTACAATAGAATGTCTTGACTTAAAAATATGAAAAAATTTATTTTTTTGATATAACACAAAAGTTATTACATCCTAAATTTTTCGACTAGACGATGCCTTAATATATAAAATAATCCGAAATTTCTTATATATATATATATAAAATTAACTAAATCAATTTTTTAAAAAATCGACTAACTTAGTTGGCTAAGTCGACTTATCTATTGGCTAATGCCAAATCGGCTACGATCACTAATTTTATACATAATAAAATTTTAAATTGGCTACACTATATACAGTATATAAAATTAAAATTCACTAAAAATTTTATTTGTTGGAACTAGGTTGTCTGCACTTTAAAAAATCTCTAAGAAAATCTTATAGTCCATTCACTTCACTATAACGAGACACGTCACTCTCGATATAACAGACTCTTAATATAACAGAGACTAAGTAAAATCTCGATATAATAGATCAAGATTCAGATCCACATTATAATAAATATTATATACTTGATATAATGGATTTACTAATATTCCTCACTATGTACCCGAGATACTACATTATATCGAGTATATCAATATCTCAATCAATATTAATGTGATGAAAAATATATTTAATGATAGTTCTTGCATTTACTGTATTCTGTTCTCCAAGTTCTCCAAGATACCCCCATGTACTATATCTCATCTTAAGTATTCAGTACAATTTTATACTACATTAATAGTAAACTACAGCTCTTTTCTTTTCCCATTGATATTGTTAAAATATATTTAAAGTGTTGTAGCAACACATAGTCCAATTATTTTTATTGGTACCGATGAATATATCATGATTTGGCGATTTGTACAAAAAATGCTGGGTTAGTTTGGTCTTTTATTTTTTGTTAATATTTTTTATATTTATTTATTTTTACGTTAATAATTTTTAAAAAGATATGGGCGATCTTACTGGTCTCATTAAAAAAGAAGATTTACAGAATAAGAATTTGCTGAAAAATAATTTTTAATGTTTAGATAAAATATGTCAAAACAACTGCATAATAAAATATGAAATCATATATGCTACGTAAAATTTGTCCACTTTATACATACATACGTATAAAATTTAATAACTGATAATTAAAATTTATTTTTATAAAGAATTTTAAGTAACTGCATTTTTTTACTAATAAGATCTTTCGGCAACTAAATTTTAAAATTTAGTATTTCAAAAACTGTTGTACAAATAAATATTATAAAAGCGAGACAATGAAAAAATTTTTAATTTATAAATTAATATATAGCATCAGATCTATTTATTACGCAGATTTCGTGCTATTTTAGAAGTAATATAAGATATAGTTTATTTAAAATTAATTTGCTAGTTCACTATCATTAGTCGTAACAATAAATTAAGCTTTATTTTGCCTTGATAGTACCAATTTACATATTAATCACTAATGCTAAAACCCCCAAGTATATCAATAATGTGTCTAAGCAATCTTCCCCATTTATAATCTATTTCAAGCGCCCATTAGATATGAAATTTATATACAAGATGTTTGAATAAACCTTTTTGTTAATCATTCAATAACATATTTTTGATAAGGATATAAAAAATCTGCTTTCACTAAGTAACAAGAAATTACTTCCAACTTGTATTCACCAAGATTAAATGTTGAAATGAGCTTTAATATAAACTTCGAATGGTGACATTGTTATGTATGTTGGTATCTAAAGAAAAAAAAAAAATAGTAATACGTTGCATAAACCAAAAACAAAAATGAATCAACCAAAAAAAATTAAAATTTCAATAAATAATGTAGATTTTTTTTCGAAGTTTCCCGACCGTGGATCATAAAAACTCGTCGAATCTAAACATCCTCCCTTCGATTGGATTATGTGAGAATCGAAAGTTCAAAAATTGACTATGAAAAACAAAATATAATTATTAATACCGTATATTTATCAAACAAATAGTTATAACGTAAATTATTGTACTCAGAATAATCATAACCAATCAGCCCGCATGATACTATTCTAAACTAGGAGGTATGCAAGATCGTCTGTAAGGCGTCAATTGCTGCAACGAAGTATCCGGAACTACAACTAGCAAGCTGGGGCGCCATAAATATGTAAAAGCTAATTAAAGCCACGCAAGCATGTGATAACTCTCCCACATCAACATTGTTACCTCATCCTTAGCTTGGGTGAACTAAGAGTTCTTCGAATAACAAGCGTCCGCAGGCAACAGAAGTTACATAGTATATATTTTGAGAATACCACTTCCCAGACGAGATATCAATCCTGTTTAAATACCACCGGCTCCCAAGAATATAAATATGTCCATGTTGAGCATAACTCATAAAACGTCGAACATATTATATTTCATCATAGTGCATAAATACTTATAAAATTATTATTCAACAACATATATTTTAAAAAGTTTTATATCTTTTGGTTCCACTATTTTATGGGTGGTCGGTTGTTTTTAGTGTGTTATTTCATGGGTGGTTGTCTTTAGTGCTGCCATTTTACGTCGTCTTTGTTGCCATTTTACGGTAGTCATCTTTGTCGCCATTTCATAGTGATCATCTTTGTTACCATTTCATAGTGGTCGTCTTTGGTGTCGTGTACTTGTTTTCATTCGTTTTTTTTTTTTTTTTTAAGCGATCCTGCTTTTATTCAAATTTAGTGAAACTGCTACATGATGCTGTGATACATCAATGAGACTGTATGTTCTTATCTAATAAAAGCTCATCAAGCCTAAGCCCAACGCGACTAGCTATAACAACTATTAGTCACCCTTGGGATTCAAAACTTGCTTCAAATTTCGTAACGATGAGGTTACCCCCCAAGAGTTATGACAGGTTGTTGTATACCATGTAATGAAACTATTATTAATATTACTATTAATCTTAATATTAGTAATATTAGTTGCAGGACAACAATTTATATTCATTACACTGAATATACCGATACCAACAGTAACCGAGATCATTACAGAATTTATTACAGCAATACCAGTAATCACAACAATACCCACAACAGTAATTGAAACCATAATAGCAAATATAACCCAAACACCGAGTTACTTTAACAACCCAAATATTATAACCCAAGATATTGCAACAGTTATAGCAATTATAACTATCGCAGGAGTAATAGCTTACATAAAATACCGAGCTCATATCCAAAAGAAACTCAATATTGCAGACAAATATACAACAATTCAAAGACAAGGAGAAATAATTAATAATACAATTACACCTATAACAAATGTTTAACAAAGAAACCCGATATAAGGATACAGAAAACCAACCTTATCATTTATACCAAACAGTGAACGAAATACTTGAAAAACTAGAAGAATTAGAAAAAGAGCAAAACCGAATTGAAAAACAAGAAACAGAATATAAATATATAGAATTATCAAAAGAAGAAGAAGTAATTTATTACAAAAGCAAAATAATAATTGACCAAAGAAAAGCAGCAAACGAAACCGTAATCCAGGCATTTATTATCAACTCAATAAGAAGAAACGAGAAACCTGAATACATTGAAACAATTGCAAAAGACTACCAACAGAATCTTAGAAAATTAACAAAACTCACAGAAAAATATCGCGTTAAATACAACAACAACAAGAAGGAATAATTAAGATAACAGACTGAAAACTTAACCGCTAGCTAATACAATATCCATTATCAGTAGACAGACTAAAAACTAAAAAGGCATACCACGACTTATTTAAAATATATTTTGGAAGACAACAATAACAGCAAAAGATAAAGGAAAAATAGATAAAACAATTATCAAATTAAACGAATTATATTTTGAAATTGACAGAACAATAAAGAAACCAAACTACCTAATCAACCACGTCTTTATATACCTAAAATACAGACATATAACAAACCAACCACAAGTAATTCAAAAAGGATTAAAATTAGCAAAACTAACACCATTCGATTATATCTAATTTTGTTTATACGCAGAAATTAGACCGCTGATATGGCCGCTGCAATAACAACTCAATTTGTTGACCTCTCAAAGCTGGACTTCAATGAGATGATGGGAAACTGGAAATGTAATGGAGACAACTGGCTAGAATGGAACTTAGTATTTGAAAAAAGATTAGAACCAAAAATACACTAACAATAATGGCA